TGAAATATGGTAACCCTAGGGGAGGTACCTGGAGGAGCGGCAAGCAGTGTGCGCAGCCCTGCGTCCTCCCTCCCCCAGGGGCCGCAGGGACATGGTTCCAGCTACTTCCCGGAGCCGAGCATAGCGGGGCCGGGGCTGGAGCTGGCAGCCTGCCCTTGGCCCGGCCTGTGCTGATGCCACCCCAGAGCCCTCCTGGACCCTGCCCCCCAACCCCCTGCCCTGGGCCCCCTGCTGCATCACACACCTCTCCTGCACCCCAACCCCCTACCCTGAGCCCCCTGCTGCATCCCACACCCCTTCTGCACCCTGAGCCCTCTGCTGCACCTCAACTTCCTGCCCTGAGCCCCCGCCTCATCCCTCTGGGGGCAAGGAGTGGGTGGAGTTGGGGTGGGGACTTCAGGGAAGGGATTGGAATGGGGACAGAGAAGGTGTGGGAAAAGGCGGGGCCTCATGGAAGAGGTGGAGTGGGGGCAGGGCCGGGGGCAGCGAGGGCTGTGTTTCTCAGTGATGCGGCCCTTGGGCCGATGAACTAGCCCTCATGTGGCCCTCGTGGTCATTTGAGTTTGAGACCCCTGGTTTAAAGGCATTTGTTACTGGAGGGAGTTATCACATGTGATCTTCTCCTACCCTTCCCCTGACACCCAAATTACTTTCTAGCCTCTTTCCCTCAAAGGATTCCTGACCTCTATCCCTTCCCCTGCACTGCCCCCTCCCTTCATTAACCTTTAGTATACTCCTCCTCAGTGTCCTGCAGTACCTCTCCTCCCCCAAACAAAGTGAGGCACAGTGTCCCAGCAACTTTCCCCAAAGCTTAGGCAGTTGTCAGCTCCAGCTAGTTTCCTAAGCGGTAGAAATTAATGTGGGGCCCAGCTACTTCTGTGTTAAGCTCCAGCACAATGCCTCCTCCTTGTGAGCCCTGACACGCCATAGAGCCTGTAATATTCCAAATTGTAGACTTGTAAGATGAACCCAGCATCAGATCTTGGCATGCCCCATATTCCGCTGTCACTCAAAGCATGCACAGTTCAATGGGGAAGTGGGTATCTGGGACCCAAGTCCACCTCTGAGCCAAAGAGGGGCAGCACTACAACAGAAAGAGGAATGCAGCAGAAACCTGCATGACCAGAGACACAGTGGCTCACACGTCAGACTAGGCATCCTTAATACTAGTGAAGATCAGGGGGAGGATTCTATAATGATCCCTTCCCTAGTAGTCCCCCACCCCAAACTCAACTGTCTGTCTCCCTAGTGCAGGCAGGCAATCATCTTCCTCTTCCCCTGCAGAGGGATGAGACCCTCATTGCCCCATGTTAAAAGTTGGCCTTTGCTAGATCCGCTGCAACAGACACCTCTGCTCCGAAGGGATGGAGGAGTGTTTAGCTAATTATCTCTATCTTTGCCTGGTTGGACGCAACTAAATATTTGAGCCCAGGCAAGAAAACAAAACATTTAATAGCTATACTGTCAGCACCCCAGGTAGCCTAGGTCAATCTGCCTTTGGGAATTCTAACCCCTGGGTGGTAGGAAGGTTAGTGGCAGTAGAGTTTGGACAAAACACCCATGTGAATATGAGCTCAGAAATCAGGTCATTCTTGAAAAATCAAGACACAGGCTGTCCAGTTACTCTATTCCAAATGCAGGAGGTGATTTAGGCATTTGCAAACTGCTGTGTATGTTAACACTGCTATTGAAGTGTGTGTTTTAAATAATAAATGTTCTTTATTTGAGAAACTTGTAGCTACTTGTCAGACACCACCAACTGTCAGTGCTAGCCAAGACTGTCTGTAGAATTTGAAACAGAACAGTGTATAAAACAGAGGTTTTAACACATTGGTGGCACTCCTGGGACTCTTTTGTTGTCACTATACTGCTAATCATGATCACTCAGAACTTCATGGTGGCAACAGGGTTAAAACTCTGATGGACTTGATCCAAAAACACCATCTCATAACACCTGAGCTATAGGAGAATCTCTGTTAACATTATAGGGCCTAGGACACAGAGAAGTTCTAACTTCACACAGCCAGCCAGCTCTTTACAGTATTATTTCCTTCTCTGGCCATCCCCAAAACAGTGCCAATAGTTTTAGGGTAACTCAGAGTAGTGCAGCATGGACACACAGGCCAGGGCAGCAGCCACTTGATGGCAGCATGTCGGTAACACTACAGGCATTTAAGGAATATGTAAATTTAATTTCCTGTGCAGGGTTATCCACAGTACAGAAGCCTTGAGGAGGTTGAGTAATTAGCAAATTAATCTATTTTAAATTACTTTTGCTCTCCGCTCTGTTCTTCCTCAGTTAGGCCTGGTCTACACTATGACTTTAATTCAGATTTAGCAGCGTTAAATCGAATTAACCCTGCACCCGTCCACACAACGAAGCCATTTATTTCAAAATAAAGGGCTCTTAAAATCAATTTCTGTACTCCACCCCGACGAACGGAGTAGCGCCAAAATCGATATTGTCATTTCGAATTAGGGTTAGTGTGGCCGCAATTCGATGGTATTGGCCTCTGGGAGCTATCCCACAGTGCACCATTGTGACTGCTCTGGACAGCAATCTGAACTTGGA